AGAAAGTGAACAAGTAACAGATCTGCCAGAATTTTGCCAAAAAAATGACTGGCTCATTGTGAAAAATAAAAAACTTGGCTGTAAAACATGCAAACAACTTGGAACTCTCAGACCTGAAAAAACTGAACAAAGTGTGAATCTATCAAAAGAGTGGATTAATATGGCTTTGTTGCAAAAAAAATAGTTCATTTCATAAGGCCACTGAAAATGTAACAACAACAAGAAAAAAATATTAGAAACTGTTTGCTCAAAAGCATTTGTAAAGGAAAAAGAAACTACAGCAAAAAATATTTAGAACTGAATACAAAGTTGACAAAAAAATAAGGCCTTCAATGATTTTGAATCTGAAATTGACCTCCAAGAGCTTAACAGTACTAACATGGAGAAAATACTTCATTCTACAAATGAATGCATAAACATTGTGAAAAATTTAGGGAAGGAACTGAAAAAACCCTCGTTAAGAAAATCATTGAATCAAAATGTAAGATTTCGTTATTAATTGACGAGAGTACCACGATCAGTCAAATATCTTTAATAATTTATGTGCGAACAATTCTACCGGAGATGGAACAACCAACGAATATATTTCTCTATGTCACAGAATTAAAAGACATAACAGCAAACAGTATATTTTAATCTTTGATGAATTACCTGAAAAAGTTAGGCTGTGATGACAGCTTCTTGAGTGAAAATCTGATTGCTTTTGCATGCGATGGTGCAGCAGTGATGCTAGGTGCCAAGAACAGTGTCAACATTACTTTAAAAATATTTCCATCAATTTTAATTTGGCACTTTGCTTACCACAGACTTGAGCTGTTTGTTGGAGATACAATGAAAAAAGATTGTGCAACATGAATCAATCAATTTAAATATTTTATTGATAAATTGTATTGTGTGTATTACCAGTCTCTCAAAAATGCCAGAGAACTGAAAAAATGTGCTGAACAAGCCACGTGTATCAACCGCAACTACCTCTTTGTGTTCTGGCAGTCAATGTCTCATGAAACAGCAGCACAGTCATCAAGAAACTCTCTTTCCTTCATCTTATTTCCAGATCTCTCAGCTTCTCCTGATGTCTTGAGGCAATCCCACTACTTAACCTAATATAAAAAACTCTCCCATGATAATCCAAAATTCTCTAAAGTTAGGTGTTACTTAATCATAATGCACATAGTGGGGTGAAGAGAAACTGAAGTCTCTGACCACCCCTGGTTATATTTCAGTCCCCTTCAAGGAATTAAGTATATATTGACCTAAATTGCTACTATGGATAGATAAAACAAGTATAAATGTGAGAAATTCAAAGGAAATGGGAGTGAAGGCAAATTTGCCCTTATGTGCAGCCAAAGTTTTGGGCATGAAAACCAATCTGGGTCAAGGATAACACAGGACCAGGGACATTGATGTTCACATACCAAGAGGAGGGGGAAAAGGGTCTGTAAGATGAAATGATATAAGGAATAGGAAGACATGGGAACAAAGGGAGGAAGGGTGAGGGCATGTAGAACAACACTGAGGTTCCAATCAAGGAGGGCAGCAGGACATGGGGGGATGGTGAAGGCAAAAGGGGTGAGGACCAGAGAAGTGAAGACATGGCAAAATCTTGTGAAACCAAATGTGGCTGACAATGGCATGCAATAACCAGCAATAGTGTATCTGACCACCCTTGTCAAAAAGCCAGTTAAGGAAGGAAGTCAGGTGTGGGAGAGAAGATTGGGATGGAGGAAAACCATGATGAGAAAACCAATGACAGTAGACATACCACAAACATTTGTAAATTAACATGGAGGAATGTTGCATTGAATGTGAAATTATGGAATCAACCCTTAGGGATAGTCCAGCCCTTCTGGAAATGGAGCATACAAAAGTCACATGTGAAGACAGAATGGGGAAAGGAAGGATGACTGAAAGAGGTTGTTTGAGTAGAGTGGGTGAGAGGGGAAGAGGTGTCAGTAGGAGCAGGCTCAGAAGTGAAAACCACAGATGTGCCAACCAAAGTGGAGCCACCAAGAGGACTCGACATGGAGTGGCTCGTATGACAGTGAAGATGCAAGGAAGAAGACAATTGGATAGATATGCATAAAGGTCGGTCACCCTAATCCTGACTGAGGACATCAACACCTACAGCCAAAGGAGGAGGAATAGGAGACCAAAACCTGAGAAGCTTCGAATTCAGGTGAGTTGCAAATGCATCCAGTTCCAGAGTACCCTACCGTGAACACAGACAACCAAACACCTCCATGGGGAGAATCTTATCAGGGCACGATAAATGATCCATGACCAGACACAGAGAATCTGGTATATAACATGCCATCAAATGAATGTGATGGCTGTGAGCCCAAAACAAGAGGTCCAAAGTGTGGAAACAAAGATACTTTGACCACGTGCTCCCTTGCAGAGTGATGTACAAGACAACCATAGAGTTGTAAGAATGGATCATAATTGACCGGTTCTGGAGAGGCAAAAGGAAATGAACCAAAACCTGATAAACAGTGAGCAGTTCAAAGTGATTGATATGCAGAGATGACTCCACTACAGACCAACATTCCAAAAACTCCTACATGTCCAAATTCACACCCCAACCCAAAAGAGAAGCAATTGTGAAGAAGTGCACCTCCGGACAAGGTGAACGAATGTCCACTGTGCTGTTGTCTCAGTTCAACCACCAGGTGAAGTCCACATGCAGGGAAAGAGGGAGATGGACAGTGGTGTCGAGGGAATACTGAATGCAGATCTTGTAAAGCCCACTGAAGAAGATGCATGTGGGCTCAACCAAGGGATATGAGGGCCTCCAAAGAAGCCCACATCCCCAAAAGAGATAGAATCTTTCATACAGTTAGAGAAAGAGGGAAGGAAATGGCCTGAACCAGAACCTCCAAAGATTATAAGCAAACAGGAGAAGGTTGGGCTCAGATAAGACAAGAATTAAAAATTACCCAAAGATGAACAAGGTACTGAGTGGGGAGAGGAAAGACTCTTCCACCTTGACCACCCAACTTACCCATGCAGTTTCTCAAAGAAGAAACTAAATGTGAAAGGAAGAGGTGATATGTGAGGGAGCTAGAAATAGCCAGTTGTCTGTGTAATGGTGGAAACAAAGGCCCCCTGGAATGGAGAAGATGGGAAAAGGCCTTAAACACCAGACAAAAAACATAGGGAGCCAAAGTCAACCTGAAAAGAAGAGCCTGGAACTTGTAGATGTAACTCTGTTGGACAAAATGAAGAAAATACCATGATAATTGGAAGAAGGGAATGTGGAGGTAGGCATTCGAGACATCTAACTTCATCATCCCCAGACCATGAGTGAAAACCCATCAAAGAGATAAGTATGACTCCATGGTGAATCAAAGAAGGTTGGGGAAGCAGTTCAAGAAAAACAGATTGATGATGGGGCACTAGTCCTCAGTCTTCTTGGGGACAACAAACAGATGGGAATAGAAACCTGGCTGAGAAGGGACGATCCATTCTACAGTGCTCATGTGAAGAAGGTTGAGAACTGCCTCGGACAGATGATGGCTGGAAATAGGATCCTAAATAGGGAGGAAGATAACTATGTGAGAAGACAGGGGTGGAGGGGAAGAAAAATGAAGTACAAGCCCTTCAGAGAGAACCTGCAGAACCCAAGGGTCTGTAGTGAAAGACTTCCATACAGTGTCAAAATGCAAAAATCTGGCCCCCACCGGACCTGTACCTTCCACGTAATCACTGGGGCCACCGAGTGTTTGCGGAAGTTGTTGGCAAAAAATCTGACTGTTGACCATAGAGACCTGTGAAGCAGGAAATGGTAAAAGAGAGGAAGTAGTGGGACAAGACATGTACACATTCAGGAGAAGGTTGAGACAAAGGGGAAGCCAATGAGGAAAGGGAGGAATAAGGTGAGGCAGATACAGAGAATTAAGGTTGGGTAAATGTGACTAAAGTATTGGGATCCAAACCCAACAGAAGCAGAAGAGATTATTTTTGTCCTTTAAGAGATTTCAAATGGAAGTCCACCAAAATATACATCAGTCACCACAATAATAATTTTTCATTTTCTTCATATTAAAAAAACAAAGCCCGACAGACAACTTAAAATGTCAAGCGATTTCTTATGCCATGGCCTAGGTATGCACACTAATGCTAAAAATGTAGCCTTGCAGTCAAATCAATAAACCTGTAATGAAAATGACTACCATCTTATAATAATTGTGTCCCAAAATTAGTCTTTAGACCTGCGTTTAACAATTTCTTTTTTTCATTTACCTGACCTACAGCTTATACCAATTACTAATTTAAGCTGGTTCTACTTCAGTGTATACTAAACGATACAGCAGTGACTCCCATGTCTACTCCCAACACCACCATTCTTCTCTCAAAAATAGAAAAAGTATACAATTTTAACTTTTATACTTAGTTGAAAAATATATTAATTTAAAAATAAGAATATCATCAAATAAATATACAAAATATCATATCCAATGTCTCTTACAATTACATTTACAAGTCATCTAATACTAAATCAAATGCTTCATTTAAATTAACATTTAGACTTATTAGAAGTCATCTGTGTAGTAACATACCACTTACAATTAACTACAACTTAAAAGTTTATATAAATTATAACCACTTTCTAATAACAGCATGTGGCAAGTTACATAAAAAAAAATTCTGTAAGTTTAAAAACTGAAGTGTAATGCTACAGTTAATATTAACTAAACAAAATCTATGACATACATAATAAAATAAACACTCAAATAATAGTTAATACTAATGAAATGGATAACTAGAAATACCAACAGTAATATTACAACTAATAATTTTACTAAAAATTACTAGTACTACTACTACTACTACTCAATACTAGTACTTCGTTAGTAATAGTTATACTACTAATATTTTCATAGCGACCAGTAGTAGTAGTACTCGGTACAATAGTAATATTATTTTACTTATAATTTATAAAGAAAAACTATCGTATTAATAGTATTAATACACTGTTCATTTGATATAATTAGTTTTACCGTCGGCTGATGAGAAACAATAGATTGTTCTTCATCATCCACATCGTACCCCTCTCTACTGATAGCGCGTCTCAGTCGATCCATTTTTCGACACTTGATAACTCACGTGCTACACATAAATCCCAAAACAAACTAATATAACAGTAAACGTAACCTTCGAGCTCGTATAAAAAGCGTGCGTGACCCTTCAAGATATATACAGATGGCGCTACAAATGTCAAGGAGTATCTTTTTATTTTGAATATTTAATCGTCTATGAACAACCACTGTAAAAGTTTCTAAAATCGCGCCCTTTTTTGGTGACTCAGCAGTAAGCTTGAGGACTTATAACGCTAAAGTTCGGGGCTCGGTTTCTGCAATAGGTATAACACAGTTATCCCATTATGTATCTTTGTGCTTAATAAACAAATAAATAATATATATTTTTAGAAACTACTTTGAAACACATACACGATTTTATTTGAAATATAAGAAACTATTGAAAATATAATGCAAATCCTTCTTACTGTAAATGCATATGTATGTATAGGATAAACATTATTAGGATACCAGGTATAGGCTAACAGTTTTGATCAAATTTGGACTCGATACCCCTCCCCATGGTAGAACAAATTTTAACTGATACCATTTGACAGGATGCTACGTTAGTTGTCTAATAAAACATAATCAAAGTTTTAAACTGAATACGTATGAATGATAGGTCTACAATGAGTGGTCACAAGTAAATAGACTCCTAATTTTTCGTCATTTAACTGATTTATGCTAACTAATT